TGCTCACTATTCATGTATCTAAGTTGATGGCATGTCAACTTTGTATGTTATTTTTTTGAACATGAAGGAAACTGTTGGTGAATAAAATAAGCAGAATTAAGCAGCAGTCAAGACATGCTCAAATGTGAGTGAAAGCAAACTAACTTGAATGTGGATTACATTCCCTTGTGCTTATTGTCCTACAGTGTTCTTCCTCCGTAGTCTTTAACCTTGTGTGCTTGTTAAAGAGCTGAGTTAACACTGTGGAAATGTTGGAAAATGTATACTTAAAACAAATGGATCTGTGCCTCCTGTTATTTATTTCCTATCTTTTCACCATTTAAGCCCTTTCCCCACCATGGCTGTCAACATTTTTAATTTCCCAAAGAGCATACAAAGAAGTTGCCATTTTGCACAATGCCCCTGGGAATACTAGATATGTTTTTTAAATTGTTACATTCATTATACACAAACAAGTAGAAATTGACAAACACGCCATATAACTGGTTAGGTGACATAACAGATTTGTTGATGACGCAGATAACTATAATTTTTTTATTCAGCGGAGAGGAAATGGCAGGTGAATCTCAAATATTCAGTGAAACATCTTTCTTTCTTTCTTTCTTTCTTTCTTTCTTTCTTTCTTTTGTCTATTTCATACTTAAAATGTCAAAGTGAACATCCATCCATGTAGGAGTTTAAGATGATTCATGCATCATACCAAATAGGCACTAAAATATCTATAAAAGACAACCTACAGTCAGAATCTTTGGAGAATATTTTTGAGTATTTCATAGAACCAAAAAGTCACAAGGGGATTAAGATAGTAATCTAGTCCAATCCCATCTCAATTCTTTGAAGGACATGATTGGTGAGGCTGGGAAGGACTTCATGGAACGTTATAGGAACTGCTCCACACCATCCTTTTCACAACTTCAAGGTGCAAGACTGCACTGATTGACTTCAACAAAACATGATTTCTAAGTAAGAGCACTTACTAAAGTTGCAGCTTGAAGAAAATGAAAAAGCAACTTTTTATAAATACCAGCATAAAGGAGTTGCATTATTGTTGCCTTTAAAAAGCATAGTAGACAATATCATCTTTTAAAAGATCTTATAGTACAACATATATATTTTCCCAAAACACACCCTGCTATCTAATTTTGGGAAATGTTTGAGATACGTATATCATCAAGAAGCAGCTTTGTAAAAATAACCTAGTGCTGTCTCTGAAAATATTCTACACTTAGAACACAATGTATCCAAATAATGAGATGGAAAACATACATATTTACATGGGGGCACAATCTAGCCAAATATAATTGCTTCAAACTCTACAAACTGTGATGGATAAATTAAGTATGACCTTAACTCCTTCTCTTTCCCTTTTAACAATCAATAGATTTACGTAGGCTACACAAGCTGCTATCTAATAAAATGTAAAGAGAAAAGTGCATCATTTGCCAGGATTGTGCCCACAGGCAGTATTAACTGAGTGCAAACCTTAACTATTCAACATTCTTTCTACCAATAAAATCACATCCAACAGACATGTTTATCTCTACATCAATGAAATTAAGACAATTTTACATTTTGTTCACTCTTACAGATTAAAAAATCAAGAGAAAAGCAAAACAACAAAATAAGATAATCTGTAAATAGATTGTTTCCATTTAACTTCCAAATTATCTTTATACACAGTTTCTCCTTTGGCATTCTTTTACTTACAAAATGCATTCAAAAAGGATAAAAGACTCTTCCTAACATCTGTCATCTCCCCAAACACTCTGATTGTTTACATGTTAAGATGGATGGCTTCATTTTCTCTCTTTGTCGCAAAAGTTTACAGAAGCTCATCCTGTAATTTGCAGTCAAAGCTGTGATAGAAAGGTGGAAGTTGGGGGAAAAATGAAGAAAGATGATTTCTAAGTTACAATATGCTACTTACGCTTTGCATAGTATAACTTTGATGGAAAATGCATTAAAGTTGTTCACCCTACAGACAATGCCTTGGGATAACTTTTGGTACAATGGCAGGAAGGCACTGTAGTGAAACATTCAGATAACTGAGGAAAGACAGAACTTCCTCGTATGCAATATGGCTGTCTTCCAAATATACTGAGAACAAATTGCTCACACAAAGCAATTAACGTGTCCAAGGTGAACCTGATGTTACTTCTGACCAAAAAAGAAAAAGATTTGCACCAATAATGCAAACCACAATACTGTAAAACTCATGCAGAACCAAAAGAAATAATTTAGTACATAGAAGGTTTTAGAATTACTTATGCTACCTTAATGTATCCACTTACTTATAAAGATAGAAATCTATATAACTGCTTCTAAAGCTGCTTTTCTTGCTCCAGAAATAATTACATACTTGGTTACGGATTTATTAGTAACAAATGCTTGCCTGCGAAATGTTCAAAAGCAGATACAGCAGGATAACTTGCTTTCATATAGCCACAATAGTTTAAACATGTAGTCTATACAGTACTACACATATATTATATGAAACTACAAGGAAAGAGAACATTGCAGGACACCGCACTATGGCTGAGAAAATACCATTTCTCAGGATACTGCAAAGAAGCAATACACTAAGCAATAGGGCCATTCAGTTGGGGTTTCACCCCTATGGGATAGTTCTCCATTTCAAAGATAACCTTTTTGAAACCATGTAATGAAGTGACTGCATTCAGCAACTCTGGAATGATGACTTTGACAATACTGGCATCACTATAAAATATGTCTCCTGCATTAATTATAGCCATCACTACTAGTGAAGATAAAGGGAATCATGATGGGAAATAAGAAAAGGCAGTGATACAACTCTGTTTTCTAAAACAGCTTGCAGTATAATCTGAGCACACACAAAAATGTACATTGTCCTGCTATTGAGATTTCAGATGGAAATGTGAGTTTAAGGCATCATTATCAATAAGCAAACTTATTTCCAATGGAGCAAAAACAGTCAATGTCTACAATCTACATACTAGAATTCAGCACACTGAAATAATAAGTGGCTGATAGCCACGCTGATTGTCCCGAATCTTCAGCTAAAGCATGTTTGGTAAAGGGGCTTCCTTAGTAATAAACAATTTAGAAAGAAGCAAGAGGCTAGACTTAAAAGCGATAGACAGATATATTTCTATTATTGTCCTAATGCTGACTGCCCTGTTTAGCTGTTTAAAAATAATAATAACTGATTGAGATCCAATGAACTGTTCCAAGAGAGTTTTCAATTTGCCTGTCTCAAGAAGCATGCCTCTTTCCAGTTATTAAACATGAGTGTCCAAAAGTGCTATAAACCTGCCAAGGATTTGGTTTCTACTGTTCCTTTGGTGTTTAAAGCCATTGCCAGGTTGTGTCACATCTTCCTTTCATATTATGTTGGCTCATCCCTGTTGAACCAATATAAACATCACTGTAAGAGTGACATTTCTTCGTATGAAGAAGACTAGGGATCCAAAAGGGGGTGGGGCAGTGGAGGACTTTAAAAAAGGAACAAGCACTTAAAGTCTTGCTTGGTTACTCCACATAAAAATGACCCCAAGATGGGATCTGAAATCCAGCTACCATGGAATTATGCTTTCCTTGTGCTTTACATATTGCAAACACTCTATATAATATTTAAATATAAGCAAAGAAGTGAGCAGAGATGTTTGCTGACTCTATCATCTGGCAGACCATTTATTTGCTTTGGTAAATTTTCTACAACTGATGTTGTCAAGTTAACAAAACTGTTACCTGCGTGTAACATTATTGTTAGTTCATGCACTAACTCGGCAGTCCTAAACTATCCTGTCATCTAGACTCATAGAACTGTAGCTGGAAGAGCTCCTAAGCATCATTAGTTCAATTCTATGCCAACACTACAACTGTATAGTGAATTCCCCTTGCATAGGTTTCTTTTATAGTGCTTGGATTACAACAATGGATTGCAAAGCACACAGCACAAGCTAAAAATGACAGACTCCTGACATTACCCATATCAATTATATTTCACAGCTACTGGGATGATATAGCCTATCCACATATGTGTGATCAGAAATCATGCTTAGCTAACATAATAAGTGCCAAAATCCTGAAAGTATTGGATGAAATTCTACAGGTGTTTTTGTAGGGGAAAGCATTTCAATTTCTTTCTTATTTAAAGAGACTAGCTTGTTCTAATCATTTCCCCCACTCCATATGGTAAAGAATGAGGCTTACTAAACAAGATCAGCTTTGATTTCATTACTGGCACTATGCCATTGAAAAGTGGGAGGAGAAGGATGTAACTGCTGTCTCTATATTGCCTCACTGTGAAAAGAGAGACTGGGTGAAATGCAAAGCCCTAAAGAGTAATGCTGTGTTACATCTAACACTCATCTAATTTTGCATGGGTTTGGTAATTCTGACTTGATCAGCAAATAAATGGAGGCTATGTATCATAATCCCTTGACCCACTACTGTGTAAACACCTCCATGCAAATTAACTGTTTGCATTCTATGTTCTAGTATAAATACTAGAACACTAGGAAGGGATCAGGCCAACAATATAAGCATCAAGTAGGAGCCAATACTGCTGTAGATCCACTACTAGCGAAAATCTGCTAGAGCAATGGTTTGCAACTAGACATCATATACGAATACCCTCCCACAGGTGGACAGCTGGACTGTCCACTTACCATCCGCCGCTGCTGCGGGCTCTGTGGTCCCTTCTTATCACTCTAGAGCTCGTGACTGATTATCCACTCTTGGCAGGAGGTGGGATGATGAGCCAGATCGAAGAGTGGCTGGCTGACTAGGCACTCCAGAGCGATAGGAAGGGGGCACAGGGCCACGGTAGCAGCAGATGGTGAGAGGACAGTCTGGTCCCGGGAGGCCAGACCCTTGTTATGTCCACCTGTGAGGGTATTCGTATTTGTATACAAATACCCCCATCTCTATTCCCAACCTTGAGTGCCCAGATGTTCTTGGACTACAGCTCCCAGACATCCTGTCCAGTACAACTAGTGGTGAAGGCTTCTGGGAATTTTAGTCCAAGAACATATGGGGACCCAAGGTTGGGAGCCACTATTCTAGAGCAATTGGAAGGAACTGCTATAGCTCTATGCTACTGTTAACTCTTTCCTTCCTGCTGAAATTTGTTTTGGAGTAGCGAGAGGATGTAACAGAATGCTTCCTTCTGTTTAATACAGGTAATGGAGAGAAGCAAACTGTTAGTAATTTAATGATAAATGAATTATGAGTCAGTTGGCAAAGGGTGCTATGTTCTGTGAAACACAGTTTATGGGACTTCGCCATTTCAGACTATGGAGAGAAGACTGTGGAAGAACACATGGAATGTTATCATGCCAAATCGAGGGCTTAATGTAACACTTTGTCCTGACATGACCTTTTTGACCAATATTGTGAAGAAATATATGAACATGCAATTCCTTCTGCCACCTGTAGTCGGAAATTACGTAGTTCCCAGAATTCTATACCATGTGCTTTACTGTATCTAGACGTGCAGACAATTGACACTTTACCAAATCTACACTAGAATGCAGAACCTATTAGATCTCCATGCTGAGTGCGTGTTGATAATTTTTTCTAGGAAATTTAAACATTTATCATTAGAAAAAGACAGCATACCCCTAATATATTAAGAAAAATCCCTGAGATTTCTGGGCACTTTGCTAGCTGCTGTAATGAGCACCAAGGCAGGAATAACAGTTGATTTAACCATTTAAATTATTCTGCTTATTTGCTATGAATGAAATTGTGGCATCAATTAGGGTTGCCTGTTCTTGTGATTTTTCGCTATGAACCTTGAGACTAATGGATATGGAAGGGTCAAAATTCCCACTGTAAAATTATGGCAATTGTCTCAAATCTAAATTGAGATGATTAAATACAAACAAAATTTCTGTTGCTTTTTTTTTTGTAGAGGTGAGAGGAAACGTAAGAAAAATCTTGGTTTTGATTACTTCATGCTATCCATATAGACTCAAGTACTATATATGAACAATCAATGGAAATTAATCATTTTGGGTCCCACCAATTTCAGAGAGATTTTTAATCTTATCAGTGCTCGTATCTCTTCTACAGAAATCCATAGGCCTTAAAATGCTGAACTCTTCCCTTCCACAATACTTTAACTGTACTGTAGCTTGAGTCTATGCCTCTTCTAATCCAAAGCAAAGAAAATGTGGCTTTAAGGTATCCTGTGATCAGAGCAACAACACAATCAAGCCGCAATCCAGAGTTAGTTTACAGCTTCATAATCAGTTGTGCCCACATGATGTAACTCTCTTCCTTTTCTTCCATTACAGCAGCTCTCTTGTGCTACGTTGAAAGTTTTTGAAACTTTTACAAGATGATGCCATGTGGCAGTCAAGCCTCTGTTTGGAAAAGTTGTCTCCCTTATTATTTTTCCTGCCTTACTATTTGTGCATTATTTTGTAAGAGTTATCATTTTTAAAATCTTTTTGACTAATCTGATCAATCCTCTCTCTTGAGCTGATAATTTTGAAATTCATCTGGTGTTCACAGCAGACATGCAATCCTACTTTATTTTGGCCCAGGTTTCTGGATTGATGCTTTATTTTCTGCATCTCTATTTCCCCCCCAGTGGGTGTGAATTTGCTGTCATACTAATCGGTTGTGTCAAGTGCATGCATTACTACATGAGAACAACATGATCTTTGGACAAAAGGAAGAATGTTCTTTTTGATGTTTACAGTGAGAGGTGCCGAGTTGCTTAGTCAAAGCTGTCAGTCTGATGCCAATGCATTGTTCTTGGTGCTGAACCGGTGCCTTGAGATGATCAGTTAAGGAAGCAGGAGGCTGATGGGGCAGGAGAAGAATCTAAGAGGTCAGGTACGGAAGCATTCAATAAAAGTTGTCTTGCAAATCTTTTCTTCTATGTCTGACTTCTGGCAGGGAGTCCAGAAAACTCTTTCCTGATAATTTCGTTAACTGTGAAGGAAAAGAGGAAGGACAAAAAAAAGGTGTTAACATGCAGGGGATTAAACAGAATCCAAAATGAAATGATCTGTTTCATTTGCTGTTGAAGGCAATTCAGACAGCCAGGGAGGCGTGGCTGGGTGCTTGGGTTACTAAAACCTGTGTACAACTCCCAGGCTATGAAGTGCAGCCATAAACTTCACAGAATGATCTGGGCTAATCCCTCTGCTTCTACCTAACCTTACTGACAGAAGTATTGTGAGAATGAAATTTGGAAGTGGGAGAGAAAAGAGGAACATGTATTCTATACTGAGATCCTTGGAGGAAGGATGGAATATATTAGACATAACTAATATATGCTTCAGCATCTTATAAAAATGTATGGTCAATTGAGATGTAATGTTGTTCGATCAACTCCTGTATTTTGACAATAGCAAGTGCACCTACAGTTGATACAGAGTGAAGCTGTTCTTGCAACACTATTCTTACTTCAGTTCCATTTTTGGGTCCCACTGTGACTAATTCATGGCTAGCAAACAATACTGCTAGACCACTCCCCATCCATGTCATGATGCACAGTGTCCAAAGGCAGCACCACTCCCTATCCAGCCATGTCATGATGCACAGTGTCCAAAGGCAACCAACATGAGATTGAAAATGTCACAAGCACCTTTCCCTATCCCTGCTGCAAAAATACAATTGAAATCATCATCATCCCCATGTGCCATCAAGTCAATTCTGACTTATGGAGACCGTTTTCATGGTTTTCCAGATGGAGGATACTTGGAAGTGATTTATAATTTTCTTCTTCTGGGGAAACCCTGGAACTGTGCAGTTTGCCCAAAACCACACAGGTTGGCTCTAGTCACAGGAGACACAGTGGGGAACTGAATTCCCAACTGCAGCCAGATACCTAAACTGCTAGACACACAATGAGCTGCCTTTGCATGACATGCAAAATCTGCTGCCAGTGCGATCTTGCACTGATGCAACAGTAGAAACTCCTCTTTCATGGCAACCCAAATCTGAAAGCTCTTGTTCACACATCTAGAACAACTCACAGCATAATGCAGTGATTCTCAGTCTTAGAAACTTTAACTCTGAGATGAGAACATATGAAACTAACAACATCTACCCCTATTCAGGAGATATATATCCAACACTGAAGTCCATTCCTACTGAAATTCTTAAGAGCTCTGTTTAGTGATTCAAGTAGTCATCACTCAACAGGCTGGAGATCACAAACTTTCATAAAATGTACATACATATTACCGTATTTTTCGCACTATAAGATGCACATTCCCCCCACAAAACAGGAGCGAAGAAAACAGATTATTTTTTCCTATTAATTCATAGGTCTATGCATATATTTAGAAAGAATTACCAAAATGAAATACAGTGTATCTCACTTATCTGTGATGCAGCTGCCAATAGCTGATTCACAACTTTGAGGCTTCTTCTTTTGTTTTCTAATGTCTCATAATCTTTAAACTGCTCTTGGACTGAACAGTCCTGCAAACAGAGGATTGCCCTCTAGCAAGCTAGCACACAAGGCCACTCTGTTCCACACAGATTGCCAAGCCTATTTTTGTAGCCTTTACTTTTAAAAAAACTCTCCGACATGTTGTCAACATAATACATTCTGAAATCATGAACAAAATTCTGTACTTTTTTCTCTTAGTCGCCTAAAACTATAAAATATGTGAAACCCTAACAATAGTTGTTCCTCACATTAAAAGATTCTAATAGTGTGAAAATATCACTGAATTTCAATAGGGATTTTATCAATTTCTTTTAAAAAAATCAACATAGCCAACGCTTTCAAAATTCAGTTCCAATGTGTGATGACTATATGAGTGAACAATTTCCAAAATGTCTTATCTTTAAGAACTCTGCTCAGATCTTGGAAACCAAAAACATATCATATTAGATTGTTCTCTCTTCCTACTGTGTCCTTTCTTAGCAATATTGCTTTTTTCCAGTAAGTTCTGCTCAGGTCTTGCAAACTAACTTTATAAAGATTATCTGCCTCATATTAAGTCTTCCTCACCCCCCCACTGCCCCACCCCCACTTTTTCCAGCCATATTTTCCTTTCTCATCAGTTCTGCATTTTCATGATATGTGCATGGTAGAATAGCTACAGATTACTAATTTTTTGCTCTAGTGACAGTTCAGGTTTGACTTGACTGAGGAACTACTTTTCTGCCTTTCTCGCTGTCTGTGGTATCTGTAAGGCTCTCTTCCAACACTACATTTCAAATGAGCTGATTGTTCTCCCTGTCTTCACTATCTTTCTTTCACACAGTATGCCAGATTACTAATTTTTTGCTCTAGTGAGGGTTCAGGTTTGACTTGACTGAGGAACTACTTTTCTGCCTTTCTCGCTGTCTGTGGTATCTGTAAGGCTCTCTTCCAACACTACATTTCAAATGAGCTGATTGTTCTCCCTGTCTTCACTATCTTTCTTTCACACAGTATGGACGATTCTGATCTTGGTTTCCAGTGACAATCTTTGCTAACTCCAACCTCTCCCCCTTTAAAAAAAAAAATCAAAAGCAAGGGGCCATGTTTTGGAAAACATGCACACATGTTTGTAGAGCTTTGAGTCCAAATATTGTTTTTCTCCCTCAGCTTGCCTAACTAAATCAAGGAAAGGGTTTGGAAACTTGCTTTCTAGTCTTCATTGTGCAGAGCAGGCATCGCAACATTAGTTCCCTTGAGAGAATGCATTTCTCCACTGCATACATTGCACTTAGGCAACATTAGTTCCCTTGAGAGATCAAAGAGTGTGTGCATTTCTCCACTGCATACATTGCACTTACTCACAGTTTGGCTTCACCGTGTTACTAAGTCTAAAACAACCTTTCAAAGCTTTTTGGTACAGAGGGACTACAGCTACATCCAAGCTGTTGTGTTACTAAGTCTAAAACAACCCTTCAAAGCTTTTTGGTACAGAGGGACTGCAGCTACATCCAAGCTGTTCTTGCTTCTGCTATCTCCCAGCAACCATAGTACAGATCATGTGCTCATCTTCTGGGATCCTCTAGCACTAGGTAATTAACTTCCGTTTCAAAAAGCCAGGAAATTCAGTTCTTAAAAACCCTCTGGTTTATGAATGTGGGGTATTGTTTATGAATGTGGGATAACGTGCTTTTGTATCCATGATTCAAAATGCCAGGAAGTGGCCTGATACTGCTGCACAATATTGTGCCCATGTTGCCAGCAGGAAAAAAAGATGCCAAGCACAACAGAATACCCTGTGATCAGTGGGCCTCCAGATGTTCTTGGACTACACAACAGAATGCCCTGTGATCAGTGGAGCTCCAGATGTCCTTGGACTACAACTCCCAAAAGCCTTCACCACCACCTCTGCTAGCCAGGATTTCCAGCAGTTTAAGTTCAAGAACATCTGGAGGCCCAAGGTTGGGGACCACTGCTGTAGATCATCTCATCTTGACTGTTGCCATTGGTGTTGTCAACATTCAGGGTACTCGTTGCTATGTAAAGTTTGATGTCCTTTTTGCAGCTGGCAATGCAGGCACAATATTATGCAGCAATATTCCACCATTTCCTGGCTTTTTGAATCATGGACACAGAAGAACAATATCCCACGTTCATAAACCAGAGGGTTTTTGAAGAACAGAATCTTCATATGAACATGGTCAATTTGTGCTGCTTATTCATATTCTCAATTACCCTCAATAGTTCAAAGCGTAAGACACAAAAATATCAACTACATATTTAAGAAAGGAGAATTTAGAAATGAAAAACAGAAGAAGCAACCAACAACTTTAGAAGAATGGCAATTTTCAGTGAGAAAACTGAGGGAAAGAGTTAAATCCCACTGTCCTGCATTTAGCCCTGATCCAAGCTGCTTTCAGAAATGTTGCCTGTTCACTGTGCTTTCTTAGATAAATCACAAATGAAGAGTGCAGATTGAGACATTATGGGAAGGTTTTATTATTTTAGCCATACTCACTGGCGGGATCATCCAAAACAGGGTGATCTGGCAGTTTGCTGTTGGTTGTGAACTAAAAGTCAAAATTCTGACTTAATATTATATCTAAATGTAGTCAATAATGAGCAGATATTAAGAATACCTCCTTGTGTTTCTGTCTCAAAACCCAATTGTGAATATACTCCAGGATCAGAGGTTGTGCAAAATTACTTTCAACTTCAGGTAGTTTACCAAGTTTAGAATTCATATAAAAATTATAATGAACTCAAAACTTTCCAATTATTCCATTGCAGCTGTTATAACTGATTAGTGCAAATAATTTTATAAAGTATTGCAATTGTTATTACAATGGTAAATACGAACTACAATACCAGCACCAAAGTTATTTTATTTTAAAGAGGTGTTTCACACAAGAGTAAGATAAGCTAAATGTTACAGGGGTTTCTTGGCAAAAGGAAAGCAAAGCAAAACTTTAAAATCACTGATCTAAAAATTGTGGTGTACATTTTGAAATTACACCCATGACTGGAAATCTGTATGGGGGTATCTTGGTGGTATATAATCATAGACCCCCTGAACTCGAAAGTAGGGTGGGGTTTTCCCTATGAAGACATTTGTATAGACATGCTTAAGACCTTGGTGGGGAATCAGGTTGAACTTCTTTGTATCTGGACATCTAAGGAACAGTTCAAAATAAAGCAGTTCGCAAAACATGGTTGCTGCCAAAGTTCTTGTCTTCTTGACATGCTGCAGTGTCAAGGAGCAGCCAGCGGGAGGTGAAATTGCTCTAGTTTCACCAACGAACACTGAAGTCTGAAAATTTTTTTTGTTTTGTTTTGTTTTAAAGGTTTCCTGTTTTCTCTACCCAGGAAATGAGAAGAGCAGATCTTCAATGGAAATTTTTCACTTCTTGAATGCTAAAAATAGCAGTTAGGTAAAAAAGAGGTGGGCACCAATACTAATGAGCGAGTGGAGGGTTATTTCCTTTCTGTAAACGAGTAGGCTGCAGACTGGTTTATTTACCAACACATTTTATTCGCATAAGTGTGCATG